CAATGACTTGCTCCTCCTCTTAATTTATTTAACATATATCAATGTGTTCCTTGTCAGGCTCAGAGGCCTCTGAGGTTGTAAAATTATCCACGACTACATTGCAAATAATTCTTATGTAATCTGGTAATGTTAATAAGGGAGAGAGAATCAGAAGTCTTCACGAGATTTTTTTTTTAACTCCTACAACCTAAAATTAAGAAAAATTATTTTCTGCGTGTGAACAAAATACAGCCTATCTTTGGCCATGGAAATTGTTTTTCCAATGGAACCAGTACTTGCATTCTTGCCAATCTTGATAATTGGTGGCTTCAGCTAATGCCATGTTGAAATAAATACAAACAATTGATAAAATAGGAAAATGCGGGGTTTTCTCTCTCCATCTCACACATAAAAACTCACATGCAGGTTTATGCACATTCCCACACAGACACACTTGTAACATCACACATTGAGCTCCATCCCTGGGAGAGGTTGTGTTCCATGGAATAGTAGCAGTTTCTCAGATGAGACATCTTTTCCATTGCTCCCCTGAAAAACGGAATCTGGTCCAACAAGAAGTATTCCACCCAACTCTTTAAAAAGAGCAGATATGCTCACACAATGTGGGAAGTTTGAGGTGTTTTTAAGTCTCTGTTTTGGGAGTGTTGCCTCTTCTTCCAGACTTGCTGTCAACTCTCCACGCTGTGTGCCTCAGCCCCTTTTCTTATCCAAGATCACAAATTCAGAAAGCAGCTACAGTTCATGTAAGTATAAAAAGTGACCACAGAACTGAAAATAATTACTTGAAATTGCATTGTGAAATGACACTAAATGAAATCTGATCACAAGGAGACAGATTAGTGAGGTGTTTGTTTTAGCAAACCAACCCCTGCCTCCTTCCTGGTCATACCCCAGGAGACACCTGTGAGTCCTGTGCCCCCTCGCTTTTCCTCCCTGGGATAAGTAGTGGTCACAATGTTGTTAGGACTTCTCCTCAGGGGAGAAGTCTCATCTCCAACCTCATCTCCACAGGTTCCATATTTGTGGATTCAGCAAACCTCAGATCAAAATACATTGATCATGACAAGTATTCACCATATACAGCTACTTTTCTTGACGTTTGATTCCTCAAAGGATGCAGCAACAGCATCATTGCCATTGCACTGGTATGATAAGTCATCTAGACACGATTTAAAGTGTTAAGGAGGATGCACTTAGCTTATGCAAACACTTGGACATTTTTATACAAAGAACTTTAGAATCCATGCATTTTTAGTTATCTGGGGGCATTCTGGAACCAATCTCCCCAGCTAGACTGAAGGATAATTGTAGTAAAGAGGGAATATGTGAAAAAATGCTCAATGTCACCATGGAAATGTAAATAAAACCACAACAAGGTATTATCTCAGCCAGTTAGAATGACTATTTTTGAAAGGACAAAGCAATAACAACAAATGCTAGCTGGGGTGCAGAAAGGTGGAATCTCACATACTGTTCTTGAGAATGGAAATTATTCTAGCTATTATGGGAACCAGGAGGGAGAATCTTCAAAACATTGGAAATAGAACCATTGGGTCCAGCTCTCCTACAACTGGGTATGTGTCTAAACGAAATAAATCATGTGGAAGAGAAATGTGCAGTATTCAGAATATCCAAGATATGGGATCAAGCTATGTGTATGACAATGGATGAGTGGATAAAGAAAATGTGATATACACACCCACACACGGAATATTAATAAATCATTAAAAAGGGATGGAATTCTTTCACATGAAGCAAGATGGATGGACTGGAGGAAGTGATGTTAAATACCACATAATCTTTTGTGGTAGTTAAAATGTTGGCCCCAGAGGTGCAGCAAACACATGGTGATTCTCAGGAGCTGGGAAGGCTATGAGGAGTATGGGGAGTGCGAGCGGACAGGAGATGGGTCATGGACAAAGGGGCACTGCTGGGTACGAGAGGCAACTTCTAGTTCTAGGGTAATGGGAGTTCATTGAGTGTTACAAATTAGTTAGAAGACTTTGCATCGAAGAAATGGCAAATATCTAAAGTGGCAGATGGGCCAATTAGGCGACTCTGACTACCTCTTTATTGAAATTCTATACTGTGCCCCCACAAATACAATGGCTAGGTGTCCACTAAAATTATTAAATTTAATTTGTAAAAGATTGTCTTATTTTGTCTAATTCTTACTGGATCCAAGTTAAGAATAAAATGATTTTTTAAAGATATATAAACAATACTTAAAAGAAACTAGGGTGCCCTAATATTTTAAAAAGCAAACTAGCCAGGTGTCAATGGTTCATACCTGTCATTCTAGCTACTCAGGAGGCTAAGATCTGAGGATCATGTGTAGATCTGAGGATCTTGCCAGCCTGGGGCAGGAAAGTCCATGAGACTCTTATCTCTAATTAACCACCAAAAGGCCAGAAGTGGAAGTGTGGATCAAGTGGTAAAATGATAGCCTTGAGCACAAAAGGCTCAGGGATAGAGGCATCTGCATCTGCCCAGCCTTTGAGTTCATGCCTCAGGACAAAAAAAAAGAAAAAAAGTAAACTTCATAGGAAGGAAAATTAACAGGGACATGAAAGAATGTAATGATGGACACAAAAGGAGTCCGAAATGTGTGTAGGACCTCAAAGTTTTAAACTACGTGAAACAAAAACTGGTCAGAGAGAAAGGAGACCTGGATAGATCCACAGACATGGAGACTCCACCAATCCCCGCTCAGGAGATCTACAACAACAGATACTTCCACTAGAAAGCACATGTCAGAAAGAGGAAGGGAATAAAGAGCAGGGAGGAATGAAATTGAAACCAGAAAAGCAAAAGAGAGAATCAATAAAACAAAAATGGATTACTAAAAATAATCATAACATCAGGCTAAGCCATGGGAGAAAAGAAAATAGTAACATAGATTACCAGATGGACAGGGAAAAGATGTGAAAGTTGTATGCTCAGAAATTTGAACTTAGATAAAATAGACCAACTTTTTAAAAATGTCCAAATACCACCTAAGAAAACATACATGATCAGGTTGGACCCAGATTTATGTGGGAAAAAAATGAATTCTTGAGCTAGGCACTGATGGTTCCTCTTGCAATCCTAGCCAGTAATCCTAGGCAGAAAAGTCTGTAAGAGTCTATCTCTAATTAACCAGCAAAAAGTCAGAAGTGAAGCTATGGTTCAAGGGGTAGAATATGTTTAAGGAGTAGAGCAAAAAAGCTAAGCACAAATGGGAAGCCCAAATTCAAAGTCCAGTGCTGGAATAAATTAACAAATGATGGAACAAATAAAATCATGAAGTTAAGATATCAAAGCCAAGGAAATACTAGAGGTATATACAATCATTTTATGATGATCAATGACTTTTTAGACTCAAAGGACACCCATTTATATGTACATTGTCACATGGGCTAAAAATGGATGAAATAATAAGATTTCTATGACCCTAAGAGGACTCTGACTAATTCAAAGTCAGGAGTAGAAATATTTGACAGTGTTGGAATCCAACCCAGAGATCCACCCATGCTAGGCAAGTGCTCTGTAACTGACCTGCACTCTCAGTTCGAATAGATTTTAATATACATTCTTTCAATGTGTAACAATGAAACACATAAACACATATACTATACCCCACAAAACATACAACTACGTGTCCATTAGAAATAAAGCAGATAACATAGATCAAAGCTAAGATCTAAACAACATGATTCATAAACTTGACCTTCAAACAAAGCATCTAAACCTGCAAAATGTATTTTTCTTTTATCTTTTTTTCTTTTTGGTCAATTATGGGGCTTGAAATCAGGGCCTGGACACTGTCCCTGAGCTTTTTCACTCAAGGCTAGCTCTCCACCACATTGCCACACAGTCCTTGAGATAGATAAGAGTCTCAAGGACTTTTCTGCCCAGGCTGGCTCTGAACTGTGATCCTTAGATTGCAGCCTCCTGAGCAGCTAGGATTACAGGTGTGAGCCACTGGCAATGGCAGAATGTATTTTTCTTACACACATATGTAAAACTGTTCACAGCTAACCATATGTAGGAACATTAAACAAGTCTATTTAAAATTTAGACAACTAAACCTAAGAACAAGTACTTTGATTATCATGTAGTCATGCTAGAAATAAGTCACAAAAATATACTTTTTTTAAAAAAGTAATTTGATGTTTCATGTATTCGAAAATTTTAAGAATAAACCACTTTTCAATACCAAGTGGATCCAAGAAGGAAACAGAAGAGCAATAGGAAATGTTTTTGAACATGATTACAAAGAAAGCACTGTGTATCAAAACTTGAGTACTAAATTTAAAACAACACTTAGCAGGAAATGAATTTTAGTTTTAATCCACATGTCAGAAGCAACAACCAAAACTTAATATTCGTGTCATCTGTCTTGAAAAAGTTTTTTTTAATAGTACACCTTTAATAAGGCCTCTAAGTTTAAAGGAAAAACTATTTTTTAAAAAAGGGAAGAAAACAGGCACTGGTGACTTAGCCTGTAATCCTAGCCACTCAGGAGGCTGAGATCTGAGGACTGTGGTTCAAAGCCAGCCCAGAAGGAAAGTCCATGAGACTCTTGTCTCCAATAGATTACCCAAAAGCTGAAAGCAGAGCTGTGGCTCATGTGGTAAAGCACTAACCTTGAGCAAAGAAGCTCAGGAACAGCACCCAGGCCCTGAGTTCAAGCCCTAGGACTGGTAAAAAAAAAAAAAAAAAGAGGGAAGAAGCCAGATGCCAGTGGCTCACACCTATAATCCTAGCTACCCAAGAGGCTAAGAGCTAAGATGATGGTTCAAAGCCAGCCCAGGTAGAAACCTCCAAGAGACTTATTATCAGCAAAAAGCAAAAAGGGAAGCTGTGGCTCAGGTGGTAGAGTGCCAACCTTGAGTGAAAAAGTTGAGCATGAGTATAAAGCCCTGGGAAATAATAAATAAATACTAATGAAGGCTAACATCTTTAATGTGTTTTAAAAGGCAATATAATGATTTGGCCACACAAACATCTCCCATCTCATGATTTCCTGCCCTCCAGCCCCAGCCAACCTGGGCCCACAGCAGCCTCTGCTAAGGGACACTAAGTTCTTGACCTTGAATGTTAGCATGAATTAACTTTAGGTAAAAGGTTTTGTCTACTTGTTAGGTTTTTGTCTCCTCTTGTCTTGCTTTGTTTTCTTTAATATTCTTCATAGTCTAAGAACCTCTGATAAATAAAATGTACATCACTAATATTAAAATAATAAAGGCCTCTCAGGTGAAGTGCTCATTTTTCCTGCCTGACCAGCAAGACTTACAAAAAAAAAAGATTATTTCCAAGTTTAAACATCAGACTAATTTCAGACAGAATACCTAGCATGGCTCAGAGGGCCAAGGCAGACTGCATATCCTTGTCACCTGTTTATTTCCTAATTACAACATGTGTTGAAGAGAAGCTGTGACTCAAATGGTAGAGCACTAGCCTTGAGCACAAAAGTTCAGGGACAGCGCCCAAGCACTGAGTACAAACCTAGGACTGGCACTAATAATAATAATAATAAGAAGAATATGAGTTTAAAGGCATAAAGATGACAGGACTGAGAACAACTCTTCATAAAAGAACATTAAGTAGTCACCAAGAGAATGGAAGGTCATCCTCAATGGAAGGTCACCCTCTCTTTTTCTGGGTTTAAGACAGGAAATGCCCCACCCCCAGCACCAGCACTCCATCCCCCAGGGGAGCACAGCAAACTCCTAAGGGATTAAGTCCCTAGGCTCCCAGAGGGAACAAAATGGATAGGTTTATAAGGCCACAAGGAAATCAAAAATTTAAATACTGAAAGAATGGAACCCACAAATTTGACCAAACCTGTAAGTAAAAAACCAAAATAAAACCAACAGAGTAGGGAGCTCCAGCCCCTCCTCTTGTACATGTTGTGAGAACAGGGACACAGAAAGGGGGTGTCAGCATCTGCCCACCCCCACTGAGACGGTAAGCAGATGAAAATTCCCACAATGGGAAGGCACAGCATTCTAGGAGGCAGGGCTCCTGGAGAAGGAAGTCCTGGGAATTGCCTACCATCCCTGTGTTTGGGGCAGACCCAGGTTACATCTCTGTTTTTTAAATAATAAACAGCACTTTTCTTGACCACATTTTGCGCCATCAGCCCCCTCAGAACCATTATCTGTAATGATTAGGGGGTGCTAGACATAAGGCCAAAAGTGTTCCCCCAGCTCAGAAGCTATAACAAGCTAAGGACCAGCTTTGTGGGTCTTTGCCCCTATTTCCTTTTTCTTCTTTTCTGTAGCTTCCTACTTTAAACTGTTTCACTTAAAATTAGTCTTTGCTAAACTTCTCCCCTGCGAGATACCTTGAAATATTCTTCATTGTGAATCTCCCTTACCTGTGATTCACATGGAAACTGAGGCTTTACTGACAGGATTACAGGAGTACTACCCAGGTCCAGCTCCTTTCTTCCTCTTCCTCTTCCTCCTCCTTCTCCTCTTCTTCCTCCTCCTCTTCCTCCTTTTTCTCCTCCTTCCTCTTCCTCCTTTTTTCTTCTTCCTCTTTTCCTAGTTCTGTCCATCAGCCAAGTAAGTGATCCTCCAATCTTGTCTTTTCTGTCTCACTTAAGCCCCTTCACATTTGTTCACAAGTGTGGCAGAGGCTGGATCCTCACACTTGTCTGAGGCTGGGCCTCCTCAGTCCCTTCTGACTCCAAACACAGCTCTGGACCTGAGGAGCTTAGATCATTAAAGACACCATTCTAACAATCTCCAAGTTCAAATAGCTCTGTAGTTAGTTGGTGCTAGAATGTGTCTTAACACCAACTGGAGCACAGCAAAACCAGAAATTTTATATATATATATATATATATATATATATATATATATATATAATTATATATATATATATATATCCCAACATATTTTACAAGGCTAGGTTAACTTGAATAAAACTCAACAAGATGCCACCTTAATTAACCACATGATCAAAGCTAACAACAATAATCTGTGTTGACACCAGACTGTGATATCCTGGTAACACTTGACATTCTATTGAAGGGACAGCCCCCCTCCCACCATGTGACAGGCCCACCCCACCCCCCCACCCCAGAACCACAATCAACTATAAGGAGACAGCACACAAACCCAACTGAGTGACACTCCTCAAACTCCTGAGTGATATTTATTTTAAAAAGTTTAAAGTTGGAAAGGACAAGGACTGAAAAACAATTATAGAACAGGAGACATGACAGCTACTGTGACAGAGTCTGGACCACAGGCAGCCACAGAGAGTGGATCTCAGTGGGAAAATGGTGGGCTGGAATATCCTGCCATGAACTGATCACATTGTACCAGTGTCAGCTGCTTTCCTTTTTTCTTCTTTTTCCTTCATTTTCTTTCCTTTCCTTTTCCCTTCTTCTCTCCCATTTCATTTCTTTCTTCCTTTGTCTCTTTTCTTTTTTTTATTGTGAAGATACCATACAGAGGGGTTACAATTACATAATGAGTACATTTCTTATCAAGCATTGTAGCCTCCTCCTTTGTTTCCCCTTCCCATCTTCCCCACCCCTTTTTCCCCCTTCTCCCCCCACCTCCCTCTCCCTCCCCAGCCAAAGTTGTAAAGTTCATTTTTCGACATAACATCTTATACATCTCATTGTTACAATGGGTCCACCTGTATCCCTATTTAAACAATTTGTTTTTTCCCTTTCCCTCCACAAAATATACCAACATCAAATACAGTGAAAACAGGGGTTATACCATGGGGGAGGGACAAACAAAGCCACAAAGAAATCATCTTCATTCACGTTTTAGTGGTACTGGAGTAAGCGAGAATGCCACCACTTTCCCACTGCAGCCATATCACCAGTTCCAATGTTAATTCTTAATTTTGACCAATGTTCTTACAGTTGTTTCAAACAGAACAACAAAGTTGCTTTTTAATAAATGGAGTGTATTTAAAAGGAGCAGAACCAATTGACATATTTAAGTCATTTAAAAAAGTACTCACAGTATGAGATGAAAAAGGCCAGGCAAAGCAAGAGGCCTACATGAGATACAGGAAGAGTGTCTACTAGATACAAAAGAACTCCTTCATATCAACAAGAAAAATAATAATAAAGACAGCTTGGTAGAAGAAAGTTTATTCAAAGCCTTCAACCACCAGGCACTGGTGACTCATGCCTGTAATCCTACTCAGGAGGCTAAGATCCAGAGAATAGCAGTTTGAAGCCAGCTTAGGGGGAAAAAATCTGCAAGACTCCATCTCCAAAATAACCCACAAAAAGCAGGGCTGAAAGTATGGCTCAAGTGGTAGAGCACCCGCTGTGAGCAAGCAAGCCAAGTGCATACTGAGGCTTGAGTTCAAATCCCTGTACTGGCAAAAAGAAAGAAAAAAAGGAAGCAAGCAAGAAAGAAACTAAAGAGGGAAATAAAATAATAGATGGAAGCATAGCTCGTTTACCTCATGTTCATTGCTGTGTGGTATTCCATTATATGACTATATTGAACTTCCCTTTTTTTCCTGTTTTGTGGTACCGGGGTTTGAATCACTTAAATAAGAACTTCCTGGCATGAAGTGCCTGGGAGAAGGGACCACCCATGCCAGCCTGTCCAGCACACTCTTGCATGCACAGACTCTGAGTCCCAATGAGGGAAGGAGATTTCCCCAGCATTGGAAGGACAGCTCTTTTTCATGCACACAGCTGCCCAGCACACCTAGCTCTGCACAGCAGCTGGCTGTGCCAGGAACGAGGCCTGCCCTGCAAGTGAAGCAGCCAAGAGCCGGTCCTGGCAGCCTGGGCCTCAAACAGATGGGAGACGGTGAGCATCTGAATCTGAGAAGTAACTGGAGGCCGCCGTGGTGCAGGGCATTCCCGATGGTGCACATCGGGGAACTGATGAGGTGGTGACACATCAACAGGTCCCTGCGGAAGTGACAGTCAGGAGAGTAAAGAGAATGTAGATGGCCATGTTTTCTATGCAGAGGGCTACAGGACCTGGGACCAGAGACACCGTGAGCAGAGAGAAAGGGGCTGCGACAGGGATAACGGTATAGAGCTGAAAATGAACATGGCTGGTTAGAGGGACAAAGGCTTAGAGACACCCTGGGTTGCTAGAAGCAGGCACTTAGGGTAAGGCTAAGCCACCATTACAACCATTACCATCACTACCACTATCACATCACTACTGTTAGGTTTTAAAGAAGAGGTTGCTGCGTAAGAACCACACCATGCACGTGGTATTCAGGTAAGGAGTAGGTTTATTCATCGTTCCGGCTGGCACCAGGCCACGTTGGCACTCCATGAGGCTGGGAAAAGACCCAGGAGAGAGTGCGTCTGGCATGAGCTAGGCCTTATCTAGGGTAGGGGCGGGGAAAGGTGTGGGCACATCGAATCCTGATTTGACCTCTTCCAGGTGTGCCAGTTGCCTAGGTAAAACAGGTATTAGGTGGAGACTTTTCTGTGAGGAGGGGGAGTCTGCTCGCCATCCAGGAACGGACCTTACAACTACCACAATCATCACCATCATCATCACCACCACCACCACCATCACCATCACCATCGTTACCATCAGTATCCACTGCAGCTCCTTCCTGAGAAGGGTGAAGCCTATATCCCCAGAGAGGCTCAGCTAACATCTCATTGGCTACCAGATATGCAATTGTCAGTAGCTTTTCCATACACCAATAACAAAGGGGTTGAGGGAGAAATCTGGGCAATAGTCCCATTTACAATAACCTGGGAGTGAGAAACAAGGTTGGAAGTGGGCTAGAGATACAGCAGCTGGGTGAGCAGTGACCCCTCAAATCTTGCTAACTTCTTCCCAACACCCTTTGGCCCAGGAAAGGCCCTACTGTAGGCAAAATGAATATGAAAACTCCATAGGCTGCCACCCACAGGGGCACCAACTTAAATACACGACCCTGGACTAGGGAAACAAGGCATGGGGAAGGTATGTGGTTCTGTGCTCGATCAACTGGAGAACAAAACATCCCCCTTAAGATTTGTTCAGGTGACTAAGTGAACATACAAATGAACTGTGACATACACCAGGCAA